GGGAAAGAAGAGACAAGAAATTGTAGACTACTATGCAGAACATGAAACTGCAGAACAGTAGGTTTAGGGCTTGTAAAAGCTGGACTGACAACCTGGGGGAGGATGGAGTCTAGCCACATGGCAGGCACATATTAGCATGTATGATCTCTTACACCTGAGATCCAAAACCCACGGAGTTAGGTGCTACAGGAACAGTCCCAGACCCAAACAGCTCACACTCTAAATCAGGGGTGGGGAACCTCAGGCCTAGGGGCCGGATGTAGCCCCTGGCTTGCCTGGATCTAGCCCTTGAGTCTCAGGAACCCCCACCCCTAGCACTGTTGAGCCTGAACTGATGCTCAAGCCCCTCTGATGCCTCACCATGGGGCTGGAGCACACAAAATCTACTAGCCTGGGTCCCCCTAGGCTTTGGTGTGCAAGGGGAATGTGGGGAGTGTCTTTCTGCTTCTCAGTCAGGGGCCATGTCAGTCAGGGAGGGCGTGTTTTGTTTTTGTTTTGTGCTTCTCACTTATGTGCAGCTCCTGACTGATTTTTCTGTGGGTCAGTGGACCCTAACCGAAAAAAGGTTCCCCACCCTTGCTCTAAATAGACACAGAAATCAGAGGTACTACTCTTCCCACTGCACGGGTGGGGAAGCAGGGTCCGGAGAGAGGCCTTAGATCAGACAGGAAATGGAGGACAGAGCAGGAAGTTGACTGTAGAATTTCTGAGTCCTATTCCAGTGCCTTAACCACAAGACCATCCTTCCTCTCTATGCTGCATTGGCCACTGACCTGGAAGGAAAATCTCTAGGCTGTAGAGGGTGGTTCAAAGCACGCTGCAGTCAGTCTTTGGCTTCCCCTGCTACTAACAACAGTGCTAATTCTAGGGTGGCAACATGGCCCCGGGATACTGAATGAAGTCACAGGGCGCCGATACAACTGTTTATCTGATCACTCCAATCTCAGACACATTTTCAGACACAACCAGTGGGGTTTGGCTTTGAATTGCAAGTGGAAGATTTGCATGATTCTGGGATGCATTAACTGGAGTGTTATGAGCAAGACATGAGAAATCATTCTTTCGCTTTACTCTGAGCTGATTAGGCCTCAGTTGGAGTACTGTGTCCAGTTCTGGGCACCACATTTCAAGAAAGATGTGGAGAAACTGGAGAAAGTCCAGAGAAGAGCAACAAAAATAGTCTAGAAAACATGAGCTATGAGGCAAGGCTGAAGGAATTGGGCTTGTTTAGTTTGGAAAAGAGAAGACTGAGAGGGGACATGATAGCGGTTTTCAAGTATCTAAAAGGGTGTTACAGTAAAACTCCATTAGTCCGGCATCCAATGCTCCGGGACTCCTGATGGTCCGGTACCATCAGGAACCCGGTGCTGGGGCAGCCGGACAGGCTTCCCCCATTCAGCTGCTGCTGAAACTGACCAGCAGCTGAATCGGGGAAGCTGGGAGCAGAGCAGCTGGGGTGCTGCCTGGTTGGTCTGCGGGGGGTCCCCCCCCCCGAGTCTCCCTGGTCTGCTGGGGGGGGGTGCAGCTAGTGCCCCCCCTCCCTCCCACAGCAGACCAGGCTTTTCTTGCCTACGCCTGGGGTAGAGCAGCTGGGGCGCTGCCGGGTTGGTCCCGCAGCCCCGCTCCTCGGCGCTACTGTACCAACCCGACAGCCCCCCAGCTGCTCTGCCCCGGGCTTCCCCAACTCCGCTGCTGCTGAAACTGACAAGAGGCGGACTTGGGGAAGCCGGGGGCAGAGCATCTGGGGTGCTGCCGGGTAGGTCCCGTAGTGCTCCCCTCGGGGCTGCGGGACCAACCCGGCAGCACCCAAGCTGCTCTATTGCAGCCATCCCCGATTCAGCCACTGCTGAAACTGACCAGCAGCGGCTGAATCAGGGATGCCTGGGGCAGAGCCAGACTATCGTAAGGGGGGGCTATGAGGGGTCTGGGGTGGCATCCCCTCCCACCCCACTCCAGACCCCTCATAGCCCCCCCTTCTGATAGTCCGGCATAGCTGATAATCCGGCATCCCCTAGGTCCTAAAGGTGCCGGATTATCGGAAGTTTACTGTATATAGGGAGGGGGGGGGAAATTGTTCTCCTTGCCCTCTGATGATAGAATAAGAAGCAATGGGCTTAAACTGCAGCAAGGGGCATTTAGCTTGGATCTTAGGAAAAATTTCTTGCCTATCCGGGTGGTTAAACACTGGAATAAATAAGGGGGTTGTGGAATCTCCATCACTGGAGTTATTTAAGAGCAGGTTAGGCAGACACCTGTCAGAGATGATCTAGACAGTACTTGGTCCTGCCGTGAGGGCAGGGGACTGGGCTTGATGATCTCTCGAGGTCCCTTTCAGTTCAATGATTCTATGATTTCTATCTTCTTCACTAGTTGCCTTAGCTGCCCAATGCCCCAGATGAAAGAGATTTTAGAACCATCCTCTGCTGGTTTCCTCCTTGGTTCGGCTGGTTAAATGAAGAGTTCAGGTCTTTAAAAGCCAACAACCAGAATCTGAATATATGACCATGGGAGGAGAAAAACCAAGGAGTCAAAGTGCAATGAGCTTTGCAACATAGATAACACAGTAAAGGTCAGAACGAACAGTCTAGACTGCCGCGCTGTGCCGGATCAGCTGATCGTCGGCACAGCGCGGCGACCATTTTTATTTTAATGAAGCGGGGATTATTTAAATCCCCACTTCATTGACTATGCCGGGTAAATTAGTTTACATGGCTCTGTCGACAGAGCTATGTAGTCTAGACGTACCCTAAATGAACAAGAAAGAGCTATCCTTCATAAAAGCTCAGTTGCTGTGAATACACACCCTTAATTCAGCATCTGCACCAATGAGAGGTAAGATGAGGCTGCGTACCTGTTCCTGAAATATTTTGGCAAGGGGAGCGCAGTCTGTCAGTTTAATAAACCTCACAACGTCAGTCACTGTCCACTCCAATGGATTGCTGTCGAGGACGAGTTTCTCTTCCTCTTCTTGCTTTATTTCCTGCAAGAGTCAAAACACTTGAAAAGAATGTTACAGTGCCCAGAATTATTCATCAGTAGAGAATGTGGTGCTCTCTGCAGACTGTTAACACTTGATACAGAAGGTTACATCAATGGAAGAAATAGTGCCAGTAATTGAGAGCTATGCTGTCCACTGATATACTCACTTCCTTGAGTTGAGTGCACTTCTCTCCTTCAGTGTATGACAGAGACTGTGTTTTGCGGCCCCTTCTAGCTCTCTCAGTGGGAGGAGGTCTGTCTGACTCTGTGCTGCTTCGTAATGTCACTGCTCTTCTTGGCCGGGCTGAAGGTACCTCAGCGGAGGAGGTGTCAGTCTGGTCATCGCGTAGCTCTGAGCTGGTTTCTTCACTTCCTGTCTCATCTTCCACAGCATCTGGCTCCTCCTCTTCACTTTCCTATAGCGAGATCGTTATGGAAACATCAGGACATAAGGTTGAACATGAGACCAAACCTTACTCTCATTGACTAGTGTCAATCCAGAGTAACACCGCTGACATTATCTGAATTGTACTCCCACAGATGCCACAGTATCATGCCATTTAGGACCCCTAGTTAAGAACTGATAACAAAACTTAGGGTACATCTAAACTGCACTCTAAAATCGAAATAAGATATGCAATTTGCGCTAAGCAAATTGTGTATCTTATTTCGATTTTATTTTGAAATAGGCTATTTCAAAAATTGGCGCGTCTACACAGTGCCAAATTTTGAAATAAAGGACTATTTCGAGACATCCCTTATTCCTCGTAGAATGAGGTTTAGAGGGATTCCAAAATAGCGCGTCCGTTATTTCGAAAATTATTTTGAAATAGCAGACGGGTTCGTTGGACCCGGGGTAGCTATCCTGGGATATCTCCAGTACCGCAAAACAGCCTTGCAGACTAGGGCTGTGTCTACATTGGTATCCCTTTCCGGAAAAGGGATGCTAATGAGACACATCGCAATTGCAAATAAGCCCTTTTCCGGAGGATCTTTTATTCCGGAGAATCACGTCTAGACTGGCGCTTTTCTCCGGCTTATCCCCAAGCCAGAAAAAAGCGGCAGCCATGTAAATGCAAATGCCGCGGGGTATATTTAAATCCCCCGCGGATTTGCAATTGCGATGTGTCTCATTAGCATCCCTTTTCCGGAAAGGGATACCAATGTAGACAACCCCTGGTGTTAAAACAAATTTATATTCCTACCTTTTTAAAATGTCAGTGAAAACAAGTTTTTCTTTTACATGTGAATATTCCTCTGTAGTGCTTTGCAGCTATAACATTGAAATCTTGTGCTAAGGCTTGAGAACTGGGAAATGAAACTGATGAGTCTTTTTTTCAAGATGAAAGAAGATATACAGCAATCAAGATTTTAAAGTATTCTCCTTTGAATGTCTCAAAATGATGAAAAAATGTACCATATACTTTGATAATCTACTCTAATTCCCATGACTGTTAAAAAGAAACACTAGAGCTAGTGAAAAATGTTTTGTTTAAAAGGTTTCTTTTGCTGGAAAATACTATATTCACTGAAATATTTAGAAAAAGTGTCAATTTTGATGAAATTTTGTTGAGAAATAAAAACTGAAACAAGGCTTTTTCATAATGTTAAAATGTACCTCTTCGTATTTTCCAAGTGGAATATTTAGATTTTTCATTTCAAAATGACTTTTCCAAGGGATATCCATTGTTTTCATGCAAAAACTGTTTTAAAAGATTTTAAAAGTGAAAAATTGGAAAGAAATGTTGTGATTTTACCAAAAGGAAACATTTTGATTGACCTGACAGAATTTTTTAATAATTTCATTTAGCGGGAAATTGAAATGTTCTGTTTTTCATTCCATTTTGGAATGGAAAAAATTTTTTTTTCCCTTAAAATAGGAAATCCGCCTCCTTGACTGATTTAATAAGCATAGTATTTTCAAAGCTGTATCTCTACAATGACCCTCATAAACAAAAAAATACTGGACACTGAACATATATACGTAAATGCTCACAACAGATGCTGCTCAGAATGTGATCTTCAGTTTAGTAGCAGTGCATAGTTTTGCCCACATTTAGGTTTTCTGAATGAGAAATCAGAATTTGACCTAGGATGACCATACTTTAATTCTGCCATCATTTTCAAACATTCAAACCCATTAACTCAGAAAGGCTTGAGTGGATATTAAGGCAACCCAGTTTCTCTTGTCTTGTAATTGATGACTTTGTCTGTTACCAGAAATCATATCACATATGTGAAGTGAGTTAATAATGACCGTTCAGGGACACACAAATCTTACCACTCTAAAGCCAGGTCTACACTACGTGAAAAGTTGACCTAAGATACGCAGCTACAAGAATAGCATTGCTACTGTCAATGTATCTTAAGCTGAATTTCTGTGGCCTCCCCACTGCAAGAGGTTGATGGGAAAAACTCTCCCACCAACTCCCCTTACTCCTCATGACCCCGTGGAGTACCGGGGTCGACCGGGCAGCACCAGCAGTCGATGTAGGGGGATTTAGACCTGCTAATTGAATCCTGAAAGATCGATCTCTGGAACATTTATCTCAGAGAAAATGGAGACCTGGCCTAGGAATAAATGTATACAGCAGAGGTTCCCAACCTTTTCCATATGGGAACCCATTTTGACAATTCAGGAAGACTTGGTGACACAGGGCAATTCAAAAACAGGGGGGAGGAGGGAGGGCAGAGCCACCTGGGGAGACACTTGGCGACCCTTTTGAAATGTGATGGTGACCCATATTTGGGTCCCGACCCATAGGTTGGGAAACCCTGTTATACAGGAAAAACTGCGCTTGGGCTAGCTGACCTGAGCTAGACAGAGTCTAGCAAACGTGGGGACAATATTGGTGAAGGCAGAGCAGCATGAGTTTCAAGTGCATGTTCTATAACCCTGGCATGTACCTTCAGCATATACTTGGCTCACTAGCAGACTCTGAAGCTCACACTTTACCGTCTTCTTTTCTATCACTACTTATGGTAGCTGGATTTAAACTAGCACAGGCAGGTTACCCTTTGTACAGCCTTTGCTGTGTAGACAAACCCTAAACATCACCAAGTCTCAACACTTCGTTTTACTTCCATTTGTCTCACTTGTTTAGTGTGTGATCCCAAGGTCACTGGAGATAGTGGAAAGGCTCACTGACTTCACCTGGTTCTGATGTGTGTATGACTTGGGCCCAAGTCCTACAAACATTTGCTTCTTGTCTACACTGGTAGGGTTTTTAGCTATAACTCGACTGGAACAGCTATGGTGGCAAGCCCCCTTAAAGTTAGTACCAAAAAGAGTACTTTTGCAGATCTATAGTAGAACCTCAAAATTGTGAACAGATCCGTCAATCACACAGCTCATTTGGAATTGGAAGTGTGCAATCAGGCAACAGTGAGAAAAAAATACAGTACAGTACTACTAAAAAATAAAGGGAAAGTATATAAAAAGGATTTGGCAAAGTAACAAAACTGTTTCTGTGCTCGCTCCATTTAAATCAAGATGATCAAAAGTAGCTTTTTTCTTCTGAATAGTAAAGTTTCACTTTACAATGATTAGTTGTACACTATTAAAAGAACCATAATGGTTTGTTCAGAGTTACGAACAACCTCCCCTCCTGAGGTGTTTGTAACGCTCGCGTTTTACTATAGCCTGTATCAGTTACCTGAATGAAATAAGCAAAAGGACTCTTTTGGCAGTATAACTGCATCTACGCTAGGGATTTGGCCAGCAAAGCTGTGTCAATAGAAGAGGGATTTTTTTCACACTCCTAATCAACATAGCTATATCAGCAAAGCTTTTTTGTTGAGACCAGGCCTCAGTAGGTGCTTAGCTTTAGCCACAAGCCATGCCATTGGTTTCGCATAGTCAACTTGTGTGTGGAAAGTTACGCATGTGGATAAGGACTTGCACTGGGTTAATTTCAGATGCTATGTCAAACCAACTTAGCTAAATCAGCTGCAGAGACTTGGGAGGTACTTATTTCTATTCAAGAATAGTTTATTTAGTTTAGGTTAGGTTGACTAGGCACAGGCTTAAGCTAAACCAAAATAAGCCACTTTTAAACAGAAATAAGAGTGTCCAAATGGGACCAGGTTAACAATACCAGTTCATGCAGGTGTGTAGACAAGGCCTGCTGCATCTTTGCAGGATTAGATTATAGAGTCTTTAGGACAATCTTGTCTTTCATTTGTTCTGCAAAGCACCTAGACCAATTTTTAAGTGTTGTGATCTTAACATATTAAGCAACCAGGAATTAAAGGAATACTGGAACCTGTGCTGATGCAAGTGTCCTTACACAGTTCCTTTCTCCATTTAGCATTTGTATTGCAATAATATCTCAGAGCCATGAACCCACTGTGTTAGGTGCCGTACAAACACAAATAAAAACCCAGCCATTCCTCCAGCGAGTTCACAATTTAAGCAGGAGACAAGAGACAATTGATGGATGCAGACAGAAAGACAGACTGAGGAGCACGGGGAAACAATGAGCATGTTAGCTTCCAAACTATTGCCAAAGTTTTGTAGGCATCACAGCAAAGCAGAGCTGCAAGGAGAGATGTGAAGGGGGACAAGGAGGTGGTTTTCGGGATATTTTATGGGGAGTTCCTCCCAAAGGCAGAGGGCAGAGTACAGGTGGAAAAGCATTTCAGAAAAGCAATGTAATGCGCGGAGCAGGGTTTGATAACAAGGCGAATGAGCATAATCCGACTTGTACCTCTGCAGATCCCACAGCGTTAAAATCGACAGCAGATGGCTTCCTTTTCTTCTGCACAAAAATGGATTTCCGCCGCTTTCTGCGTCTTGCTGGTTTGATGTGCCCACTTTTCATGTTGTTATTTTCCCCAATTGGAGGCTTGATGATTTTTTTCCTCTTCCCATAATAATAGGCTGGAGCAAAACATATAGTAAAAACATAATGTAACCACAAAGAAAATTAAGCTTTTGTTTGCTTTATGCTATTGATACATTGTAATACATCTCTCCTGCACAGCAGCTTTTGTGGGGAACTTTAAGGACATCATGATTGTCAGACAATGTCTGAATGAAGAATCAAATACCCGATACCATCTTGGCCTATTGTCACAAAATGGGCAAAACTATTACAATTTAAATAGCTAATGATACATGTTTATTCATTACCGTTTAAATCCTGAAGTCTTTACTTAATACTTACTTAGCCAAAATGTTTGCTGTTAATTTTGGCTGGTAATTTTGCCTGAATAAGAACTGAATAAGGATTCTGATCTGTGTGTGACACTACTATAAATCTGGGGTGTCTGTCAAAATGTATGGCATTGCCCTGGTTTTACAGCTGGGCAGCCGAGGCTCCAATTAGACCATATCCTGAAGTTCAGAGCATAACAGGCCTAAATTTCAAAGATGCAGCTGCCATCAGCTTCAATAGGAGCTATTAGCACTCAGCTCTTCTGAATATCATTGGAAATATTCAGAACATCCGAAAATCAAGAAAAGAAAAGAAAAGAAAAGAAAAGAAAAGAAAAGAAAAGAAAAGAAAAGAAAAGAAAAGAAAAGAAAATGTGTTTTAAGACTATACCATGAACCTCCTTCCAATGCTCTGATTCCTTTACAGTGACAGGGCATTATTTTATCTGGTACTCACTGTATTTTGTTTTGGTATGAATGGAGCAGTTCTCGGGACAGACTTCAGAGACCAGCACAGGGCTAAACAAATTTGGACAGCACTCCAGTTTTGCACAGACTCTTCTGCAGAAATCTGCCACTTGATCAGACGTTCGCACAATCTTGACTGTTGCCCTGTATGTTTTCCCTCTGTATCTAGAAAAGAGTATTGCAAGATCACACATAACTAATGGAGTGAGAACTTCGAATGCTATACACCCAATCCTGCCTTCTCTAGTAAGCAGATTCTCCTCTCAGTGACTCCAAGGGGAGTGGGACCAATGTACTGAAGGCCAGAGTTAAGACATACTGGCTGTAACAACTGTATTTCAAATACAGGTTGAACCTCTCTAGTCCAGCACTCTCTGATCTGGCAAAATCCATCATCCAGCATGAATGTAGTTAGCCCGATGTCTAGTTATAATGGGTTGGCTAAGTTTCCCATGGTCCCATAAAGCTGGTTTACAGCCACCAGTCCTGGATCTCGGTGTTCTGTGCTGTTATTTAGCTCTAATTTAACCTTAAATGTCTTCTAAGAGTCCAGTAAGCAGTGGAAGGGTTGGTAATGCTGCTAGATAATATTGACCTTCTATGGTTTGGCAAATTCTCTGGTTTTGCACTAGTCAGGTCCTGAGGGTGCCGTATTAGAGAGGTTCAACCTGTAGACCAAAATGGGGAAAGGCAGGGTGCAATTAAGGTGCCAGGTGATGTTACAGACAAGGTATTGAGCTGTGGGTTTAGTAAGGAAAGGGCAACTGGAGATTGGCTACTCGGGGAGAAGACGAGAGAGCAGAGAGTCAAAGATGACAACAAGGTCCCAACTGTGGGAGCTGTCAATGGTGATACTGGATTGCATTGCAATCCTTTATTCAATGGCAATTTAGGAGGAAAACTAAATATTGTTTGAACTTAGTTTTTACTAAACCATAAGTGATCAAGAGTCAGCAAGGTGCAAATGGCACTACTATTTCTATAATAACTGCAAACAGTGCTGGGGTGTAATTAGAATGACATCCTGCTTTACAATCACTGACTATAGGTGCTTAATTCCCAATGAATTCAGTGGGAGTTAGTGCCTAAAAACATTTACAAAGTCCTCTCATGGGTTTCCAGTAATCTGATTGTCTGTGAGGCTCAAGAGACTCCAATGGGTGTGCTGTACAGCATGGAAGAAATGATCCCTTTCCCCTCCTAAGAGGGGAGAGAACCTTACTGTCCCATTGCAGAGATGTCATGACTGTCCTGGAGCTGAGGAAGTCATGGTTAAAATGGATTTCACAAAAGCTAATGTGAACAGAAATCATTCCTATGGGAAATAGGAACAAGAAACCAGTCTTTCCTAGAGGGTAAATCCCTCCCTTGATTTCATAGAGGCATAGACTTTAAGGCCAGAAGGGACAAGCAGATCATCGAGTCTATTTCCTGTATAACACAGGCGGGAGAGTTTCATCCAGTTACATCTGCACTGAGCCACAATAAAATGTGCTGAGAAAGCAAAGCTTCCGGAAAGACATCCAGAGGTAATCTGAAGACACCAAGAGATGGAGACTCTACCATTTCTCTTAGCATTTTGCTCCAATGGTTAATAACCCTCTTTAAAGGTGTCCTTATTTCATAGTTGTGGAATATAGTGGTGTTCCTGGCCTCTGTTTGTTTGGAAATAGGTGACAGGAGAGGGATCACATGAGGATTGTCTGTTGTGTTCCCTCAATCTGGGGCATCTGGCATTGGCCATTGTCAGCAGACAGGTTACTGGGCTAGATGGATCTTTGGTCTGACCCAGTATGGCTGTTGTTAAGTTCTTATAGTTGGATTTAAATTCTAGCCATTGGTTCTTGTTGTATTTTTTATCATTGGGTTAAATAGCCCTTTAGCATCTGGTAGTTTCTCCTCCTGAAGGTACTTCTATTCCTTAAGGCTATGTCTATATTGGCAAGATTTTGCGCAAAATCTTGCCGCCTGTCTACACTGGCTGGGAGTGTTTGTGCAAAAAAACAACTGGCTGAGAGTATTTGCGCAAGAACACAGACGTTGTAATGTACAAAATCAGTGCTTCTTGCGCAAATACTCTTATGCTCCCGCTCAGGGATAAGTCCTTTTGTGCAAGTGTTCTTGTGCAAGAGGCCAGTGTAGACAGGTAACATCAATTTTTTGCGCAAGAAAGCCCGATGGCTACAATGGCCATCGGAGCTTTCTTGCGCAAGAGAGCGTCTACACTGGCACGGATGCTTTTGCGCAAAAGCAAATCTTTTGCGCAAAGGCACATGCCAGTAGACGCTCTCTTGCGCAAATACTTTTAACGGAAAAACTCTTCCATTAAAAGTATTTGCGCAAAATCATGCCAGTGTAGATGCAGCCTAACTGAAGTCATCTCTTGATCAGTACAGTAAACCAGCATAAACATCAGATAAATGGAGTTAACCCATTTCTCACTGAACGAATATGGAGTTGAGGTTATTTCACCCACTTCTTTTGCTATTGCAACACCACTACTCTGTCTTCTTTCCTACCCACTAAACAGTCGGAGCTTTCAGTACTTCACGGCAGAATCTCGTCCTTAAACGTGTACTATCCTTGTGGCGCTGTGGTCCTAAAGAACACAACATTGTACTACAGGGCCTGCAAAAAGCTGGAACTCACAAGAACGAAAAAATAAGCAGACCAATCTCATTTCATTGTCCAGGTGAGATACAAAGAATGAAGAAACAATATGGAATACAAATGGGATTTTTATATTTTTGTCTTGATGCCAGTTGTCATTAGTGGCTACAGGTATAAAGTAGAGTTTCAATCACGATTTTGGTCTCTGCAGTCTCTCTCTAAGCTGTAAAACATGATTTACTAATATTTTCCATGCATCCCACTTTTTAAATCTTTTAACACTGAAGTCATTAATGAAATCTGAACTACCCTCTGACAGCCTCAGGAAAAGACCTATGGTAACTACAATTAGAAAACCATTTTTCCATTAGTGTCACTAAAAAGATCATTGTTATTGATATATTTTCCACTGTGAGAAGACTCATTTTGCCAGCTACTTTCACGCATCCTGCACTAATAACCTGGGTGTACTGTAAGACTTGAAAGTTCAACAGTATAAAGTGTTGAATGAAGCTTAGTTGAACAATCTTGCTTTTCTAATTACATGTTTTACGTCTAAAGCCAAAGGAAAAAGAATCTTCAAAGATCCCTACAGTAATGACCCATATAGGAGAATTTACAAGGAGAAACCAGCTTAGGCATCTTCCAAGACATTAAAAGTTTGTGCTAAATAGATATTTCATATAGCAAAAGTTCTGAATAGTACTCCAAAAGCTGTGTCTACACTGGGCCACTTATTCCGGAAAATCAGCCGCTTTTCCGGAATAAGCTGCGAGCTGTCTACACTGGCCCTTGAATTTCCGGAAAAGCAACGATGCTCTAGTGTACAAAATCAGCCGCTATTCTGGAAAAACTATTCTGCTCCCGCTCGGGCATAAGTCCTTATTCCGGAACACTGTTCCGGAAAAGGGCCAGTGTAGACCGCCCAGTAGTCTTTTCCGGAAAAAAACCCCGATCGCGAAAATGGCAATTGGGGCTCTTTTCCGGAAAAGCGCATCTACATTGGCCACAGACGCTTTTCCGGAAAAAGGGCTTTTCCGGAAAAGCAGCCTGCCAATGTAGACGCTCCTTTTCCGGAAAAACTGAAAAAGGAATAGTATTCTGTTTTAAGCATTTCCGGAAATTCATGCCAGTGTAGACACAGCCCAAGTGCTTAACTATTTCAGAATTCAGCCAATAGGTGACTGGAGCCATTCTGAATAGACAACTGACTCACAAACACTGAATTCCCTTCAATAGTTTTTGGAAAAAAAGGAAAATCAATATGAAGGACAGTCTTGCAGACACAAAGTACCCAACAAAACCACCCCTCCATCCTTAAAAGAAATCGCAGTACTAGACACTCTGAAGTGCATCGGTGTCACTAAATATGAGCTGGACTCTGCTCTTCATGGTCGTTGAAATCGAGTGCAGACTGGGACCTCTACAGATATAAATGCTTAATGTTTCGGAGTTCCTGACTCTTTGAAGCATGTGGTTTTTTCCTTGCAAATTCTCCAAAAATAAATAATTCTGGATACCAATGTTCTCACAAATTACTGCCTCTCGTCTGTAGATAAAATCAGTGAAAATGTGGCAGTGGCCTTACTTGAGCACTATCTAATCTTCCACCAACATTTTAGACTCCTCTTAATCTGGATTCAGTCTGGCCCTTGGCATTCACATTAAAAACACTCCTGAGGTGACAACGTCATGGTTATGGAGAGAGGTTACTCTTCTGTGCCAGCCCAACTTCATCTATTTGCAGCCTCAGATGAGTGAACAATGTTACTGACACACAGATGGGGCCTCAGAGAGGCAGACGGTGTAGCTTGAAACTGGCTCTGAGGCCATGTCTACACTATGAGATTAGATTGAATTTATTAAGGTCGATTGATGTTTTAGCACCCAATTTTGTTAAGAGGAAGGCGCATGTCCCCACTTCGCAAGAGAATTTGACGCTATTTGAAGTAGGTCAAAGTAGCGCATCCCCAAATAGGAGGCTACCGTTGACTTCGAGAGTGATACATTTGTAGCGCCCCCTTTCCACCTGGTTACCTTCTTTAAAGCCAATCTCCTTACAGGTTTTGATGGATAGGTCTGGGTTCTTCTGGATCCCGCCACCCACTCAACTTTATTTTTTCTGATGGATTTATTTGGCGGTGCCTCCACCCCCCTCACTCCTTCCTGGCAGGGTCACCAGGGCAGCTTGGGAGGAAAATTCTAGCCCAGGGTAATCCCCACATATTTGCCAGATAGTTGGAGACTCCCAGAAAATAGCACAAACACATAGGCTGTGTCTACGCTGGCATGAATTTCCGGAAATGCTTAAAACGGAATACTATTCCGTTTTCAGTTTTTCCGGAAAAGGAGCGTCTACATTGGCAGGCTGCTTTTCCGGAAAAGCCCTTTTTCCGGAAAAGCGTCTGTGGCCAATGTAGATGCGCTTTTCCGGAAAAGAGCCCCGATCGCCATTTTTGCGATCGGGGCTTTTTTCCGGAAAAGACTAGTGGGCTGTCTACACTGGCCCTTTTCCGGAACAGTGTTCTGGAATAAGGACTTATGCCCGAGCGGGA